AGTGGTTCTGGTGGGGGGTTTGGGGTGTGGATTGTGGATTGTGTAATGAGGAGGTAGAAGATGGTAATCACATCTTTTGCACATGTAAGGAAGCGTGGTTAATATGGGTTAAGGTGCTGTCTTGGTGGGGAATGGAGACTATGTTGCCAAATGTAGTGGGGGGATTAGCAGAATTTTTCTTGTGTGGATTGGGTAGGGTGATAGGAAAGGAATTGGGATCTTGCATTTTCCTTGTTACTTCTTGGTACATATGGTATTGGAGAACTTGTAGTCTTTAAGGGAAATGTGATTCTAAGGGATGATTTGTTGGATATGATACAGACCAAGACTTTCTTCTGAATTAAAAATAAATTGCAGGGTTGTGTTTTTTCACTGTATGATTGGAAGGTCAACCTAGTGGAGACTGCTACAGCTATAAGAAAGAATAAAAGCATGATGAAGGAGTTTTGTGTGAATACAAATGGTAGGGTGGATTAGTTACAGAATACATGTTTTGTTTTGGAAATGGCTGTTGTACAAGTACTTTATGTTTTTTAAAATTCTAATGGATGTAGTCTAATTTTGTAGATGGGTTGGAGTACCCCTTGTACTCCATATTAATTTAATCTATTTATTTTGCTGATTAAAAAAAAACTTTTCCTCTTTTCAATTGCATAATAAATCCTTCATCTCTCTGGGTTAGTGAATCTCAAATCCCTTTATCTCAACATTTCAACAACGTGGATCTTTGTGGTGGAAGAAATTGAAATGCTGGTGCTACTTTCGATGCTACTTCAGAGGAAGGAGGCTGCAGTGATGGGAAAATGAGGGGGTTTTCGTGGGAGGAAGAGGGATTAGGTAGTCTGGTGTTTTTGGGATTCAAGAGTTTAGATCTAGGTGCTGGCTAGAGCAAAAAAAAAAAAAAATGAATGAAAATTTTCAGATATGATAAAAAAGAAAAAAAAAAGTTAGATCCAAATGGGATGAAATTGATGGTTACTAGTAGGTGATGAGTACCCAAACCGTGTGATGAGTACTCAAATTTTCTAGATTCTTTGCTATGGAGAAGCAAGGGGAATAGATGGAGTGGTAAAAAGAGAAAGAACGAGAATGATGAGAATGGAGGAAGAGAAAGAAAGGAAGGAAAAGGGAGGAAGAAAAAGAAAGGAAGGAGAAGCGAGGAAAAGCAGTGGTCAACCGTGGTGATGGTGTTGCTGTCACCACCGGTGCTGGAGAAGAAATGGAAATAATGAAGAATCAAAGAAGGGAGAAGGGATTGAGTTACTGTGTGTTTGGAATCAAAAATAGAGTATGGTTGGCTATAAGGATAAGTTATTCAACACTTATTCTTAAGTAAACTAAAAATGTATATTTTAAAAGAGGGTACAAAACCCTGTGGGTGTATGAATCACCTCCCTAAACATTTATTAAATGAGTTTAATTTGATTTGTGTAAACTGATTCAAAATAGTAATCGGTGGAGAAGAGCAAATTAATAAAAAAAAATGAATATAAATTTAAGAGAACATTGATTTATCTCTCTACTAAATCTCATTTCTACTAACGCACTTTTCTTTTTTCCTACCCACGCACTAATATGAATTCTCATATTTTAAGATAAAGTTCTTATCAAATATGAAAAGTATTTTTTTTTTGAACACGGAAATCTAGAAAAAGAGAAAATTTTTTTCAAGTAATTAGTGAGAATAAAATTTTGGACAATAATTGGTACATCCTATATTTTAACACTCGATTCAATACTTTTTGGTTTAGTCAATAAAAAATTATTATTTTTTAATCTGAAATTAAAAACAGATAAGTATAATAATACAATCATGCACATAGAATATAAGAATCGACTGAATTAATTGTATTTATATTATATTTTTAATGATTAAACTAAAAAATATTGAATCAAATATTAAACCGAAAAATGTACCAAATATTTCCTTAAAATTTTTCAATCACTTGAATCCAAACTCTTAATCTTGGTAATAAACCAGTAGGTCTATTGGGATAATTCAAATATCAAAAGCAATTATGCAAAAGGATGATGTGTTCGAGGATATACAACTGATCGAGAATATCGATCTTGGCAAAAGACAAACTTATAACAACCACTCGAAATCATTTCTTTAATACATATTACAATCAATCTTTCTCAGCTTCTTACCAAAAAGTTAATCATCAAATCCCCATATATTCTCTTAAAAATGAGTGTTAGTGGGATCAAAAGCTATCTTTTAAAATGGCCATGCACCACATCCAAAGTTTGATGGCAACACAAAGCTTTGGATCGAACCTGAAATTTTTTATATAAGTTATATCCTTTTGAAATTTACAGCTTCAAACTTCATTTCAAGAAGATCATTTATAATTTCTTCCACTTCTCAGCTAACCATATGGAATGGTCTAATATTAATTTTCTGAATTGCATTGAGCCCCAGCCCAGAAAATGTTCTCCAGGCTAGGGCTTCTTGAGCCACTTAAATAGTAGGGGTCTTCTCCAGGAGCGCATAGAAGCCAGAAGAGTTTTTGTTTGACTTGAATGAAACCTAAGGGATGAAAAGCAATTTAAAGTGAACTTGGGTTGCTTGCATGCATGCAGCTAAACCAGTAAAGAGCTAGGTTTGGTTACTTTCAATCTGTCTTTTATACAGTGTTAATGGGTCATGACTCAGATCTTACCTGCAACATTGTATTTCTCACTCAAGTTTTTACTTTCTAACAACCCAATCCACTTATGATCCAACCATTCTTTAGAAAAAATAAAAATAAAAATCTTTAATATCTTGTCAAGTGGTGACAACCAAACATTAAATTGTTGATTTATTAAAAGTTAGCAGAATTATTTTTAAAAGGAAAGAAAAGTTGGCTTCGTGCATTTTTTTTTTTAATATTAGGTTACTCTTTGCTCATTTTCTTTTTTTTTTTTTGAAAAAAAAATTATTTTTTTAAGAAAATATTCTTTGATCGTCTTAAGTGTACTTTGAAATTAATTTTTAATTATTTTCTCTTGAATAATTTTTGTAATAAACCACTCACATTAGCTTAAATGCCACTAAGAAACTGTATAACTAGTTAAAAACTTAAAATTTTAAATTGAAAATCTCAAAAACATTAAGGAGAGATTAAGGGAATGAAAAAATTATTTTTTATTGTATAACCTATCATTTAATATTCAAAAAAATTTAACTTAATATATTGAAAGAAATTAAAAAAAAAATTTTTAATGGTTCAGATAACTGAATTTGGTCTGAAAGAGTATCACTGCTTATCGAGTGCGTTTGCCTTTTTGTTTGTTTTTATTTGCGTTTTACAGGTGGGTTAACTACTTATGTTTAGGGCTTCTTACCAATGGGCCAGTCTAAGATCACCCGAGTTGGGCCCCGTCAAAGCTCTAGACTGAGCTCATTAATCCGTCTTGGGCCTAGATTTGGGTAGGACAGGTCCAATAATAGGCCTGTCTCGATTCTTGAACATAGATCCTGAGGTTCGGGATCGGGGTTGGGCCTATTTGCTTTTTTATTAGGCTTGTTTAATTAGATTTTTTTTACCATCTGCCTTAAGCCTTAAGGCACTTTTTAATATTAACTGATAATAATAAAAAAAAAGTTAAATTTTATTAATTAATTGTCCAGTTAAAAAGGCAAATGTTAAAAAATCCTTTAATTGAATTAATGAATCAAAACAAATCATGCTTAATACAACGAACAGGAACTCTAAATCTCCTATTCCAAGTGAAAAACCTAGTTCATTACATCCCTTACTCCTTTCTATTTTTGTATTTAATTTTTTGTTTTTAATCGATAAAATCTAAAATAGAAATGATAGCTTTTAAAACTTGAATAAGAGGCTAAATTCAAAACAATTTCACAAATTTTTTATCATATACATAATCATATGAATTTGCGTTTTTTTTTTCGTTTTTAAGTTTTTTATTTTAAATTTTATGTTTTATTATTAGATTAAGGGTTAGTGCTTGTCCACTTTACTTCCAAAAAATTAAGAGAAAAAAAGACAAAATTTATTTTAATACATGCTTTAAAAATATAGTAATTTAATCTTTTTTAATAAAAATATGCTTTAAAATTTATTAAAACGATATAGTTTTGAGATGATTTTTCTTCTAATTTTTAGAAGATAAGGTTAATAGGCACTATTTTCATTAGATTACTCTTTTATTAAAATATTTATTTATTTTTAAACAAAAATTTAAGTAATATAATGTTTTTAATAAAAGAGTTTCATATTTTACAGTTTAAATCACACTAAATTTTAAAATAAAAATAGTTAAATGAAAAGCCTGCTCTTCATCTAAAAATTTTAATTTTATTATACAGTCCAAACTGCATAATAAACTTTTTTAATATAAAATTTAATTTCTTTTTTTAAACATAGACAATTTATTTGAACCAAGAGAGAAGGGGAAATGGGGAAAAGAGGTTTATGAGGTTTGAACACGACTCATTGGGTAAATTTTATATATAGTCAGCAACTAAACCACCATATCTGTAGTGTGGATTTCAAAACTTGAAAAATTGAATCACCTAACCTAAGAAGAGAATTGGTCTAGCGGAGAAAGTCTTTTTACTTTTAGTGTTCAAGTTCTTACATTACTTGATTTATTTATTAATTTTTTTAAAACAAATGTAAAATGAACCAAAAGGTTGCAGCCTTTAGTTTTTTACTCCTTTTATCTTAGAATACTATTTTTTTTTAATTTTCTTTTTAGATTTATTTGAAAACAATTTATATTTATAGTTGTATTTATATGCACACAAAAAAAACTTGAAAATAAAGAAAATATTTTATGATAAAATGTATAATTAATTCAAGAAATATGATAAAGTTAAAATAAAAAAAATTATCTCCCTTAAAATATATATAAAAAAACTATTATTATAGAACATATTTAAAAAAAAACATTTATTATTCTAGAATAAAGGTTTTTTTAGATATTAAATTATTTTTAAAAAAATATTATCAATGCCAAAAGAAAGGTCAATAACCTCAGTGTGTTTGGCCAGTCAACCTTTATAGTAAGAAGGATCTTTTTAGAATGCATACTTCTTCTAACACATTGCAACTCCAGAAAAAAAGAAAAAAAAAATGGAAAGAAAAAAAGCTAGAACAATGTCTAAGGATTCATCGTGGTGTCAAATAGGAACCTTTCCTCTGAGCTAGGAATAGCTACTGTCAATTTGCCATATAATGCTGAAAGTGTAAGCCAGTGCAGCTTGGTGTCAAACTAAGGATGAGAATTGGACCATTACTTTTGTGGATGTCAGTGGTAGTTTCAGCCATTGTTGAGAGTGTTAGACGAAGTAATGTTATATAGGTAGGTGACTCCATGGACATGTCTACAATGTGGCAAGTGCCATAATATTGTTTGCTTAGCCTAACTGAAGCTTAAAAATATGTCAAGTATCTTAAACTGTAATAGGGCAAACAAAGTAAGTATTACTTAGTTGGCATTAGAAGTGATTGTGGCTGCTTGGTTATCTAATATTGTAGAAAATATTGTATCTAATCTAATATCGAAAAAATGAGAAAGAAATTTGAATATCAAATAATATGAATAAGTGCATTTTTTACTATTACTACTCGATTCTAGCAATAATAAGCTTCTTCAATATATTTTATTTTCTCATATTTTACCACAAAAATAGGAGAAAATAAAATAAATTGAAGAAGTTAATTAATTATAGCAAGAATCCAATGGTAATAATCAAAATACCTTTGTTTATGTTATTTGAATCTCAACTTCCTTCTCCCCCTTTCGTGATTAGATCAGTCACAATACTCATTACAACTCTAGATAACAAAGTAGCCACAACCATTTCCTAGTCCAAACAGAACAATATTACTTCACATGCTTCTTTAGAGCTCAATATAAAAGAGCTCCATTTGCCATATTACCCTAAAAACTTCAGCTAACCCAAACGAACAATATTGTGGCACATGCCACATTGCAAACATGTTCATGTCGCCTTCCTAAATATTTTTCCCATTTCTAACGCTCTCAACAATTCCTGAAACTACAATCGTCATTCACAAAGTTAATAGCCCAACCCCCGTCATTATCCATAATTTAACCCCGAGTTGCACTGGTTTACCTTAATTTCATCTTTGAGGCCAAGAGGACGTCGCATGTGCCAGTTTTGGGGTCCACCAATAAGTTTCCAGCATAGCCTGGAAAAGGTCCTTCGCCGTAAACGCCGGGACAGGCAGATGCAGCCTCCAATGGTGCAGCGGCTGGGCCCTGTAAGTACCCATTCCCGCAAGGGTTGGTGGCAGTACCTCCGGCGCCCAGTAGGCTAGGCAAGTTGATCACCATTCCATCAAGATGCACATTGTTGTTGGGTGAGACGAGAGGTAGATTTTGTGAACCGTAATTCGGTTGGTGGCATGGCTACACATATTGAGAGTCTATGAGTTGCCCACACAAATGGAGGCAAATTTATAGTACTTCACTCCCTTTGCGTAGGCCATTGATAGAGATCAAAGCTATCCGCGAGTTTTGCACCAGCTCATACAAAACAGAACTCGTCAACCGCAGCATGCGCGGCCGTTGGAACCAATTGGTCACCCTTTAGCAAGATCCGCGATTTGCTCGTAACAATACAACGACTTGGCCATGGTTGATTTTGCCATTTCTTAATAGATAATGATAAATATGATGAAAATTTTGGGACAAATTACATTGCATAAGTTTTTACCATATATTTAAAATATTAAAAGTAGATTTTCTATTATTTAATAATTATTTTTTTGTTATTTTATTAAAATTCATGGTATTATATACAATAATTTATTTAAAATATTAAAAAATAAAATTTATATATTATTTAATAATTAATTTTTTTTCACTTTATTAAAACCTATCATATTATATATACTAATTTATTTAATGAGATTAGTTTAAAATTTTTGTTTTCACTACTCTTTTTTAATTATTATTTTAACATTATTGATAATTCTGTGTTTATATTTTTAAAATTTATAATTTTTTATCCTTTTAAGTTTTAGGAGTAAGCTAACTAATAAAACATCAATTACAATCTGATTAATAATTTTAATAAATCAATTACAGCTACTATAATGAAAATCAATAATATTATAGTTATAATATCAAATAAAATTATAAGTTTACCATCTTAATGAGTCATTAAATAAATAAATATAAAATAAAAAATGAATTGTAAATAAAAAAATCAATCATATAATAACATATTACAATTATAAACTTATAATCTTATAATGCATGAAATATCTGTTGAATTAACTATTTTTTATTTGGCTAACAGCAAGATTTGAGGTAGAAGATG